GCTCACCCACCTTAAAGCCCTCAACTATGCCAGCGACTATTCGTAATAGTGCTTGGGTGGTGAAATGCCCGTTTCTAAATCCAAACTGGTTTGGATTTATCAAATTATTTGATTCAAAATAATTAATAAGACAGGCAATACATAATTTTTTCTAAAACTTTGGAAACTATTGGGATAATTGATACAGGTTGGCAATTATTAGGACCAGACATTTCACCTTTATTATAGATTGGCACAACTTTAGACACTTTAAAAACCTCCGGATATATTCCAGTGAGGAAACACAGGTCAGTTAATGTTAAAACTTTTAAATTGCAACCTCTTTTAATAATCCTACTGTTCATACAATACAAGTCTACATTGTGACCTGCTTGACCTCAAGTGAAGAAACCAAGGAAAATTTGATGCATCAAGTCAGATGGCCTAGCAGGAGTTTCATCCAAAGTTTCTAATATTTTATGAGCTACTGTAGTAAAAAATATGTTGTTGTATTTTATTTTAGTCTGGGCCCTATAACCCGACCAACAAGGATCGATTACCTCAGTGTAAACCCGATGTTTGTCTATGTGTACGTCTGATATTATCTATATTATCTAAGCAGTTAGCGCAGCCCTTGGCCACTCTAGTGGGCTAATAGTAATAGGTTCAAATCTAAACTGCCGAATTAGCGATAGAAAATCATCCAATCTTGTATGTTTACAATTTTTTATTTGGATATTGTTTTTAATGGATTAATCATGGCCTACCGCTTCTAATAAAATAAAATATGACAAAAAATTAATTTTTTAGCTTAATTTTCAAAATCACTTTGTATTCATATATATTTCTGAAAACCTTGAATAATTTCCAATTAATGTAATATACTGGGTGTTTCACTAAAAAGAATATGTTTTATTCATAACTAATAAACAGTTAGAGAAAATAAAAATCCTATAAGAATGTTTTTTAAACGCTTCAATAACTTAAAATACCAGAGATGCAAGGATGGTCCCAAAATCGATAGTTTTGGATTTCAGGCTGTACCCTTCAAATTGAACCGGCAGCACATATAATTCTATTTCTTTATATTTTCTCGTAACTTAATTAAGTTAATTTTATTTTAAATTTCCAAAACGTAAGAAGTGTCAATCCTCTTGAATATTGTTTTGTTGATTACCGGCAAGTGAAGATGTACATTAAAATACACGACAGATTCTCTTCACCACATTTGAGTATTCTTCCATAATAAATTTAAACTTTTACTTTCTTAGTGACACCTATCGATATACAATGCATACTAACTATTATTTGTCACGTTTGACAACAGAACCACACCCTGGATACTCTCATCTCCAGCTTAATTTTCTGTTTTAAATTCTATTGATAAAGTAGTGTTATTTAGCACGTTATAAATCCGTTTAGAATTTTCAATATGGCTCCTATATATTGCTGTATGATCAATTGTTGGTTGGTTACTAACAAGCATCGCTTCCGAAATCACGGAGCTAGAGGTTAATAAAGGAGATGGCTGATGCGTCAAAGATATACATAAATTGCAGAGTATGTGCAAAATATTTAGTAAATAATAATTTTACTTTGAATGGGAAGTTAAAAAAAGGTGTAACTATATTTGTTTTTAGAACCATTCAGAATACACATTTCTAACTTTTGTATTGTGGACTTTACTTTTAATAGTTTTTGAGTGCGAGCCTTCTTCTAGCTATACAGAACAGTGATTTTAGGATGCAATATTTTACATTTGAAATCGCTTATAAATAATTGTCTCGTCTAAACTTCCTGCAAGTTACCCTATAGTCTGTCAATTCAAAACAAAATGTAATAAAATTGTATAACTATTTCTGTTACAATGTAACAGAAGACTTTTTCTTGAGTAAATGTATTAAAATAATCTTAAAGAAAAGGATAGAACATTTTCTAATTGTATGCATATGCTTTGGCATAAAAATATCCTCTTAACTTCTCTAGTAATGTACCAATTTTTAAAAAAATATATAGAAATTTTAATAAAAATGTTAGGGTGATAGAAGGGTGTGATTTGGGTATTATTGTTATTCTACAATAATAGTTATTATCGAAAAAAAAATTTTTTTTTCCTTTTTTCCTCTTGTTCTCTAAATTCGACCGGAATGAAGTCCCGTAGTTTTACCCGGCAATTTCTAAATTTCGAATTCAGAATTTAAAAATATAATAAGAAACAAGGAATTTGGTTCTGAACTTCTCTATTAGTTTCTTACATGGCAATAGATGGCGTTTCTGTTCTCGAATATGAGTGAATGCACTCAGAAAAATAATGGGTTTTGAAATGCACAAGAAATTACCTTGTAATAAGTCAACTCTTTTCTAAAATTTAACTAATCCCTATCTAGCATTTGATGAACGTTTCGTTTATAATATATTTTTTGTTTTAGAACACATTATTATTTGCTTATTATAAAAGGACGTCTTTTCGGTCTCTTATAGTAATCAAACAGGAACGTTTGCATTTTACATTTTAAAAAGAAAACAGTTTCTTCTGCCATGTGACTTTTACCAGCCTATAGAACAAAAGAAAAAAGCCGCCATTATGTGTGCTCCGTCTCAGAGTCCACTTGTTGGGTCGTTAGGTAATGTCTGGCTGTGGCGTATCGTGCGGTAAGTACTTACTCGCTTGTGTCTATTATTATCAATTATTATATAAACCATTAAGATAAAGATGAATAACTATATGAAAAATGACAAACATTGAAATTCCATTTGACACCCAGCATGTTGTATCTTTTCTGCGTACTCTCCGATACTCGCACCTGTCTTGAACTAGCAATAAGCATTTAAAAGCATAGGTTTTTCTAGCGGGCAATATATATACTTGAATTTTTGGTGTTGTTATGGACACACTAGATTTGTAATGACATTAGATATTTATTAGAAACAGGTTTGTAATAATGGAATCAATTCTAATAAAAATTAGCATACTGCTGAGGATAACACAAAGCGTCCCATTTGAAAAAACAGAGTTTAGTAGTTTGAAACTATGAATATATATTTAGACGGTAAGCCAGAATCTCATAAAAAGAGCGGGTGGGGGATTTGGTAGAGTGAACAATGGACTCCTTGCCGCTTCCCGCATAGGAGAATATTGCCAGTTTAACACCGTCGGATTTATAATTTTTTAGGGGGCTTCAATTTATTTGTAAGTTTTTTGAGCTTATTGTATCCGACGCGGAGAAGGAACAATGCACCGAAGATATAAGTCAGTTCATTAAGACGGCCTACTCACACACATTGGAATCACACCAAGGCTGGTTGGGCATGCAACTGTTTAACGTGAGTATCAAGATGTAAGACACTAAAAATATCTAAGTGGTAGTATAGTCTGTCTCGATCTTCATCGCGCTTGCTTTTGGCCACAATTATGGAAGTTACCTACAGGCGGTAATAAAACTCGGGTCCGGTAGGTATTAAAGGAGAGAAAATTAGGGACGGACTTTCAAAGGTTTTGGTAATAATAAAAAAAATTGATTATTTAGGTGGGTATAATCATATTAAATTACATTAAAAAACAATGACATAAAATATATACAATAAACTTTTAGCTATAAATATCTATACATAATAACATTTTTATTCTGAATGTCTAAATCTAACTCTGTTTCACTAACAGCCGTCATTGAGATTAATTATAATAGGATTTATGTTGTTGTATATAGAAATGTAAGGGTCCTCAATTTTTATAATATGCTCTAACTCTCAATTGGTATATTATTAATTACTTTTTTATCACATTTATAACACTGGTACTTAAAGTAGGAGTAACATTTCCTGCTCTAACCTTTGATTTTACTTGGTTTCACAAATGCTCTATGAGGTTAAACATGATAAGGAGGAAGGCGTAAAATAGAATATCAAACAAAATTGATTGATAAATACCGTGTGGTCATAGAAACGACAAAAATATGCGGCTAGTAAAAATAAATACACTATTGTGCACTTCAAAAAATATACCACATATAAAAAATATATTTCTATTATATTCTATTTGGATGTCAGAAACCGTAAGAGATCGAAATCGGTTATATAGAAACAAAGTTGCGCATTTTAGGAGCTTAATTTAAAACGGCTTCAAAACCGAGAAAATTGTTTTCCAAGCATTTATCTTTTTCTACAATTGCTACATTGACCCTATTCTCATTAAATTGACCTTAAATATCTTTCTCGTCAATGTATGTTCGCGATGCTTTTGCGACCACGCCTCACAAATTCAAAACCGACATCTTTCATTAATCTACCTAAGGTACTGGTTGTAGGCAAAGCATTATAGGTCACCATGTCATCCAAACTTCATTGTTTCAAGTTTTTAATACTGTTACTACAAATAAAAAAAAACATTGTCAGCTGTACGTTAAAAAACAAAAGCAAGCGTAAAATAGCTCCAGATACGAGCAGAGAGTAAGAAGCAAGTTAGAAAATGGTTTGGTCCTATTCACCGATGTCTCACCATTTTAATGTAAGAACAACCATTTCTTTCATTAATAAAAGGCGGAGACAACATGAAAGAAAATGGCTCGTGAGTATCCATAAGACTCTATCTGCTTGTTAAATAAGGAAAAGGGCTTTAAATTTTTGAATATTATGATTTATTAAATCATGAGGCACAGAATTGTAAAGTTATACGTAAAACTTTTTTAATATGCTGCTGTTCTGTGCTTCGGTATTTAAAATTTCAATTTATTTGTGGGGTGTATTCTGTAGGCAGAAAAACAGACAGAAAAAATTAGCATTGGTGGTTTCTGTATCTGAACGGTTAGTGGAACATTCATATTGGTTATTCTTTACACTCAAGCGGTTGCCTCCTACTGAAAAAAAAAACAGCTATTCTGCACAAATGTGTGAATCTTGTTTGTCTTGTGTAAAGAGCTTTCGTTTTTGGATACGAGCTTCATCGGGATTTAACTTAACCTCTCAGTAATGAGGTGCAACAGGTTAACATATAAAATAAACTGATATACATCAGAGTTCAGCTTGAATTTATTTTTAAGAATTTTTCAAGTAAAAAAAGAGTTTTTTGCTAAACAATGTACAAAACAACACAAATAATAAGTCCTTAGATAAACCATGTTCCTCTACTGAAGATCGTTAATTTAATGTATTACATGATCCGATTTTCTTACGTTAAATATCAAACAGCAACTATTGCTATTACTTACAAAATGAGGACCGGAATTAAGTTGCTTAAGTGGGACATATGCCCTTTAGGTACTAATTTTTATATGTTCAGTAAAGAGTAGATTTATGTCAGAACTAATGAACTATCAAAGTCTGTGCAAGAGGGTGATAATAAAGCTGTTTGTCATCAGCAAAAGCTTGCACCTTGCCTTTGTTTTGCAGTTTTTGAGAAAGACCTGGGTTGCCGATCGAAACGTCAATGACAATTACAGTGTTTTAAAATTATTTGTGAGTTTTGTTCACTGTGGACCAAACCCTAAGAATCAACCTATAATATATATATATATATATATATATATATATATATATATATATATATATATATATATATATATATATATATATATATATATATATATATATATATATATATATATATATTCTCACGTATTGATTCACGGATGGAAAAATGTGATGACAGTATATTCCGGGATATCATCCGTTCGCTCGTTGAACTCCGACTGGAATCCTGCAGACGTTTCGCCAAACTCTCACTTGGCATCTTCAATGCTCGCGCTCCGAAAACACACACAAATATATATATATATCTATATATATATATATATATATATATATATATATATATATATATATATATATATATATATATATATATATATATATATATATATGGGAGAAGAGCTCTATATTTGTACTAAACTTGAAGTCGATGGCTGCAAATTATAGTCTTTCATAGCGATTTACCAAAAACCGAGAAAAATGGCGAAAAGAAGATGGACGCCACTATCCGATCGCAGCCATTTTTTCTAGATTAATAATACTCGTGGGCTGTTTAAAAGGAGAAAAATCTCAGCGCACTAACTTAAGCCGTTCGAAGGTTATTCGCTATTATATGAAGCGTTGACAGAGAACAGAGAACGCACAAACAGACAAAAAATTGAAATGTTTTTTTCGACGCTGATTGCTCTGATAACATTGCTAAAACTGTAACTTTTACTAAATGCGCCAACTTGTTTGTAAATATGTACTAAACAGTTTTTTCTTTCAATAAATAAGCAAAACAAAATTAAGGAGTCAAAATGACCCCTTATAGCGCTAATACCTAAGCAGGCAAGCTCGACGCTCCTAGTGCGAACGCGGGTTGCGAGATAACAAAAGACTATTGAGACATGTTATATTCGCTATCTTACTCGTCTTATAAAAGTACCTGAACAGCAGTCAATTTCACCGTTTTGGATTTACTGGTGAAAAACGAAGTCCCTGGATAGAAAAGCAAATTTGCGACACATTGTATTACCTAATAGCTATATGATGCGTACCTATATAAATTATATAATTTCGCATTACTTGACATCATAACAATTAAGGAGCGTTCATTCAAAACCAAACATATCCTTGTGAATAAATTAAGAGAAAAAACAACGAAAAAAGACTGGTTATGAATTTACATTCAAATTTAAATAGATTTAGTTGATATTGAATGATAAAAAATCGATAAAAACTTAATAATATATTCTGAATCTATTAGTGGAGAGGTCTGGGTTTGAATGACTGCTCCTAACTTCCAACTAACATTTTTAGGTATTATCAAAATTCGCTCCGAGCCGAAAAAGCCTGATCCGCATGGCCACGGACTCAAAGCAATACAACGAGGAACAGGTCATTAAAGACATGCGGCGCTACGTCCACGGATTATCCGAGTGTCTCGCATCCTTAACCCTCTTTTACATTCAACAGGGACTATCGCTTGCCCTTAACGGCGAAGAAAGGTTCCTATAACTCGTTTAAATAAAATCATTTGTTAAATTTGTTAAATACATTTCAATAAAATCATACACACAAACGTACAAAATATATTTAAAGCACGTCCTAGTACAATGTATGCGATTAGATGAAATCTGCATTAAATAAGTATAAAAAGGTAATAGATAACATAAACAAACAGGCATATCAATGAAAAAAATGACCATCAAAAAATGTTTTTTTCTAAATTAGAAAAACATCCTATGTTAAGCACTTTTCTTGGTTTTGGGATTTAATTTTGTATCATTTCTTATAAATAGGTTTTATTTAAAGAAACTGGTAGTTTAGAAGTTATGGCCAATACCTAAAGCTATATAAATACATAAATTTTCCTATCCAAAGTTTTTTCAAAAATTAATCCAAAATTTATAAAAAGTATACAAGACATTTTCTAACCCCCGTAAAAATGCAGTACGGTTTCAATTTTCGCAATAGCATTTCTAATAGCGTGAAAGAAAAAAAGAACTGATAGAATTGGTTTTTTTTACATTTAGTTGTTACCAAGTTTTTTTTTAAAGAAAAAATGGCTTTTCATAGTGTTCAAGAGCATTTAGATCTTCATGAATGTTGCACAAGAAGAGTCCAGCATTGACACTAAGAGAATATAGGGTACCCACGAAACATATTTTTTCACTTGATTGTTCTAACAGAAGAGAAGCAATTAGAAGTTCTCCTGTATTTTAAAGAAAATAACGAAAATTCGCAAAGAGATGCGTCCAGAGATCTACCGGATGTTAATAAAGTTAGTGTTCAAAAGACTTTACCATCCATTCAAATTTTTGCCAGCGGCAACAGGACTTTCAAACGAGACTTTTTATTTTATTTTATTATTTCCTTATGATGGACCACAATTTTGAAAGTGACATTTAAAAGAATCTATTTACCCATGAGGCCATTCTCAATACGGCCGTTAAGTCCAACAGAAAAAATACTTATTACCGACGTATCTCAAATGAGAATCTTGTGTGATGTCGCATTATACGTGATTGAATAATTGGCCCAGCATTTTATTACTTTGTTCTAAATGGTGGGAGATATTTAAATTTGTTGGAGAACTATAAATTTCAATTAATTGATAATCTGCAATATTAAAGAGATTGTTTTTCAACAACTGTTATAAACTGTTTAAATCAACGTTTTCCATTTTGGATTGGTCGGTACGGGACCATGGATTGGCCAGCAAGGAGCCCTGACTAGACACCCTTGGACTTTTTCTTATGGGGCTGTATAAAAAACGAAGTGTATAAAAATAGGGGTAACAGTGTTCAAGACTTAAAAATGAAGTGTTAATAGGTATATTTATTAGTATAATTAATATGCGTTTACGTTTATCGTTGTCTCTCAGCACTGTAGGTATCGGGTTCTGTTGTTCTCTGTACTTGTCTGTCTTGTGCATGTCACATTAAAAGTGTGTGTTGCAAATTCTATATAATAAAGGGCCGGTTATTGTGTACGTATTTATTTTATTGGAAGGCGTTGATATACGTAGCGAATTCTGCTTTTTTTCGTTCTTTGATTGGAGGATTCGATGCGATCGAAAAATTAAAGGGTCGTGAGAATTATAGCGTCTGGCGATTTCAAATCACTGCTGTTGAAACATGATGTCTTTGGGAATGTGTGATGGGGCAGATGGCTATTATAGCGACACCTGACGAAACTTCAACGGCCGTTACAACAACAAAAGGCGTTAACCAAAATAATTCTTTCCTTGGACAAGTCAACGTACCCACACGTGATGCAGGCGAAAACATCGACAGAAGCACCAAGTTTGAGTAATTATGATACAATGGTGGATTATGTCAATGAAATTATTGATGTTATTGAATAGGAGTTATTATGCTCCGCGGGCTCACTGAAGATTATGACCCAATGTTGCTGGCACTTGAAAGTTCTGGAACTGACATAACCTCAGAGTTTGTAAAGACCAAGCCTCTGCAAGATAAAAAATGGCAGAATGGTAAATGCTCAAATGGAGGCACAGCGCTGATATCAAAAACAGGTAAAAGGACTCCTTGATGTCGCTCTAAGGCGCACTATAAAAATCAGTGTACCCACAACAAACAAAATAACTTTTCTCATGCAAAAGTAAAAAATTTAAATAGCAACAAAGCTTTGTTTGCGGCTTTTAACATAAGTGAAAAACATGTTTTACCAAATGATAGTGGAGCTATTTTTCATATGACTGGCAATAGTGCATTGTTGTCTGTGCTTTCTGACAAAAATAAAGGATAGGAAATTATAGCTGCTGACATCTCTCGGAACGGTAGATGCGGTTGTCACGTTGCAGCAAAATGGCAACGAAAGATGCATTTCAGATATAAAATATGCTCGTAACCTGGGTGTGAATTGATTAAGCGTCAATTCACTGATTTCAAAGGGTTTTAGTGTATTTTTTGATTTGCAGAGTTGTAGAATATTTGATTGCAAAGAATTCACCAACAGGGAAAAGTTGATAGCAACAGCAAGTAATGTACATGGTTTGTACAGAGTTGATAGAATACCAGAAAGTGACATCTGTGTAAATGCTGCAGAAGTCATAGATTCGCAAATGCTGTGGCACAAAAGGTTAGGCCAACTTTATCATTTTAGCATGAAGCTTTTAAAAGAAGTTTTGGCCTCAGGAATTCGCTATTGTGATACTCAACCTCCATTCTTGTATGAAAGTTACATTAAAGGTAAGCTAAGGGGTGGCTGCGAATAAACTATCCTTGATCCACTCAGATGTAATGGGACCTATAGAAATAAAATCCTGCAATGGTGCTAGATATATTTTTACACTAATTGACGATAACACAAGAAAAGTTTTCTGTTATTTTCGTAAAAGTTAAGATAAAGTTGTGGATTACTTTAAATAATTTTGTGTATGAGTCGAAAATGAAACAGAAAGAAAAATTAAAATATTACGAAGTGATAATGGTAGTGAATACTGCAATCAGAATTTGGACAAGTTTTTAAAGCAAAGAGTTATAAAAATAAGCTGACGGTTCCTTATACACCGAAACAAAATTGTGTAGCCGAACGCTACAACCGCATAATAATGGATAAGGTGCGCTTAATCATGTTTGACATAAATTGTCCACGCCAGATGTGGGTGGAGGCGGCGAACAAGGCGGTTTACCTTATAAATAGATCACCAAATAAAAGGATCAAGGGAGAAACTCCAGAGGAAAGATGGACAGGCAAGAAGATTGATCTTGGTCACCTTAGAATATTTGGCTGTAGAGCCTTTGTTCGTGTCCCTGATGAAAAACGAGGGAAACTGGAACAGAAAAGCAATTTTGTTAAGATACAGAGAGAACTTTAGTTGACAAAAAAGATAGTTCTTCAGCAAGCTTCCAAGAAAAATCGGAGAAAAAAAGGTATCTAAAAAGAATTTCTCGTAGGCCAATGTTTTTTAACGAATATGTTTTGAGTGGCTCATCTGATTCAGATATTGATTTGGCTATGTTATCTTTAAATCTAGAGTCAGAGGCAGAAACTGGATCCTAGCTATTCAAAGGGAGCTTAATGCTTTAAGACAGAATGATGCTTGGGAGCTACTCGATAGGCCTTGTTAAATATCTTTGCTTAATGTCGCAGTTTTCAGTTAGTGCGCATGCCTGCAACTTATAATAAAGTTCCACGCAGGGTGCCTTGGCTTCGGGAAGACGAGAGTCGGTCGGTATCCGAGTCGCACACATAAGCGGAAAGAACTTTTGTCGGTACTAAGAATGTCGGGATAATTTGTTTCTTTTACAAAATACACAGTGTTAGTCACCTTCCGACGTTTTATTTTACCGAAAAATTGTGTTAGTGAAAATTGCTGAACAATAACCGCCAAATCAACAACATGGTCCTTCGGCGGATGGGTTTTTTTTGAAAAAATCCAACGACGATCGACGACAGAAAGAGGCGTAAACGGTGCCGACGCGACAAAAAAAAGGTCAGATCAAGTCATCAAAGTGGGTCCCGCTTTTGCACGTTCCAGACCAAACAATTCCTGACCGCTTCGCTTTTATTGAAAATTGTTTTTGAACAATGAATTCGCGTGGAAGAAAGAGAGGCGGTGTAAAAAGCACTCTAACGAATTTTAAAAAGTATTTAGCCACGTTGCAAGAAAAAAGCGAGTTTACGGATTTAGAGTTAATTGAATTGCAATCTCGTTTAGATAAAATTGAATGTGTGTTATTGCAAAAATTCTTTGAGATTCAAGATGAAATTGAAACCATCTGAGAAGATGTTGAAAAAAAAATGTACAGAGCGCAACAACTTTGAATTTATTTACTATTCGCAGGTGTCAATCGCAAAAAAAAATCTTAATGAAAACAAGTCAATTTCTTCTAAATCAAGCACCGAATCAGGGGAATTTTCCGCAACACAAAATGTTGTTAATCCTTTACAAAATGTCAAACTTCCTGTCATAAATTTGCCAGCTTTCGATGGTTCGCTACAAAATTGGTTAGAATTTCGTGATATTTTCGAGTCACTCATTCATAAAAACGACGCAATCAACGATATACAGCGTTTTCATTATTTAAGGGCTTCGTTGACAGAGGGTCCTGCTCAGGTGATTAAATCGCTAGAATTTTCTGCAAGCAGTTACAAAATCGCTTGGGATTTACTGGTTGAAACGTTTAACAATGACAATAATCATTATTAATAAATCATTATTAATAAATAATCACGTAAAGAACATTTTCAACATGGACACAATTAAGAACGAATCGGCTGACGGCATTCGAAAATTACTTGACACAAATTATGTCACGACTCATCCCTACACCCATAGGAAGAAGATGCTCAGCCAGATTTTGCCGCGTCAGCTTTTAATCATATAAAACTGTTGTTGCGCTTATTTGTTGGTTAGTCAGTTGAATACGCTCTTGCGGTAAACAATTAATTTTGTAGTTTTGAAAAATAAAGTTTTTTTAAAAAGCGACTTTCGGTTTCCTGTTAGAAAAGTGGCGCAGTCAGTAGGATATTCCGAAGTTTGTCGAATCGATCGGTAGACTTTTCGTATCTACGATTTATCGGAATATTGGAACTTGTTGAGTGACTGGTGTAGGTGTTTAAGAAGATTTATCGAAAACCTGTCGGAGACATTTCATCAGCAGCTCATCGGAAATTGGTTCTCAAATCGTTCCGGTTTCGCAAGGAGGCAAAAATTTGGTAGGACCACATCGCCAACCTGAGAGACTGTCCCTTATAGAAAATGACCAGAGTCGCATTATTTTTTATGTAAGTGCAATTTTTAATGTCCGTAGAAGACTTAGCCGATATTTTATCTGATTTAAAAATCGTTTCAACTGACTCACATAGTAGTAGTAATCAAAATATTTCTATCGAAAACAGTATAAGAAATAATTTATATACAGATATGGCTAATAATTTTAAACCAGAATATTTAAACTGTGTACCTACTTTTGATGGGAACGCTAATGATTTAAATAGATATCTTGCTACTTGTGATAGCCTTATAACTGCTTTTTACGATCAAACTAATCCAAATAAATTTGAAAATATTTACTTAATTAATTGCCTTATTGGAAAATTAGTTGGCACAGCCAAAGTAGTAGTAAATATACAGAATGTTTCGACTTGGGAAGATCTAAAAGTCACTCTTGTAAGAAATTTCGCGGATCAACGTGATGAGGCTTGCCTCAACCGTGATTTAGTTATGCTACGGCAGCAACCTAACGAATCACCCAACCAATTTTATGATAAAGTATTATATATTCTAAATCTTCTTTGTTCGTACGTTGATAACCATGAACAGACGAACGCTGCGAAAGTTCTTAAAAGGAAGTTATATACAGACCTTGCCTTAAAAACATTTTTATCAGCGCTTAAAGAGCCTCTAGGTACGAATATACGTTGTATGCGTCCATCAAGTCTTGCTGAAGCTTTGCAGTTCGTCAATGACGAATACAACAATCAATACTTTCAAAATTACTCTAAAACACCTAAACCGCCGATACAAAATGTAAGACCTTCAAACCAAATACTACAAGACTCTTTTGTAAGACCAAATTTTAAGCCAAACGTTCTATATAATTTTAATAGTCAAACGCCAAATAATCTCTTTAGAAGTCAACATTATTTTCCCTCGCAACCGATAAACATACAACCAAGACCTAACCCGCAACAACCGAAGTACTTTACAAACTCACAAGTTTTCGGGAAACCCCAAAATCAAAATGTTTTCCGCCCTAATCAAAATAAACTGTTGCCAAAACCTACTCCAATGAGTATCACCACAAAAAATACTAGCAATAGTTTTAGAAACCCGTCAAATAACTTTAACCAACCCTCTAATTCAAGAACAGACTATTTTAAATCTTTTTCACAACAACCTAGGAACTTCACCTTTGAAGAATTGCATAACACCGAACAATATGGCGAAAACCCTGAAAAATTTTGCGAATATGTAGAACAAGAAACCGAAAACAATGACCCACCTTACACATTTGACCAAGACCACAATTTTCAAATTGAACAAGAAACAGAACAAAATTTTTCGAAACCGCCTCTACAAGACGACAATCCATAGACGATCGCGTATTTTGCCTTAACAATATAAACATTAGTAAATTACCTTATATCGTACTACCCGAACATAACCTTAAGTTTCTCATTGACTGTGGCTCATCAAGATCTTTTATCTCACCTGAATTAGCATTTAAGTATTACTCGAAAAATATAAAAGAAGATCCATTTATAGTGGCAAGAGGAAATCAGGTTTCAGCACATAAATATAGCACATTGTTACCCTCTTCCAAAATATTTAAATTGCCTAAGCAAAATAATTTAAAATTCTTTTTATTTAAATTTCATGGCGTATTTGATGGATTAATTGGTGTAGATAATCTCCAATTTTTAAAAATAAATCTAGACTTTGCTAATGGTTATTTATACACCCCATATACTAAAATTAAACTACTCTATCGAAACACAAACAAAAATCTTAATCAAATCAATATCAGCCCTCGATGCGAACAAATTATCAAAATTAAAACATCTATAAAAAACGGTGAAATTATTATTCCCTATCAAAAAATTGGAAATTGTGAAATCCCCGAAAGTGTATCTATTTCGAAAAATGGTATAGCCTTAACCAGTATTTTAAATAACTCGACAGAAGAAGTTACCATCGATTTTTCTGAACCGTTAGTTGTAGAAAAATTTAACAGGGAATTCTTACAACAAATCGACCTAAATAATATTTGCGAATTTTCCTATAATCACGAACCAAAATTTGATATCTCTGAAACAATCCGTAGTGAGCATATGAATAATGAAGAAAAGTCGGAAATATTGAAACTCTGTAAAGAATACTCTGATATTTTCTACAATGAAAACACACCTTTAACTTTCACAAATGAAATAAAGCACGACATTCGAACATCAGATGAAACACCTATATACACAAAAACCTATAGATATCCGTACATACATAAAGCAGAAGTTGCGCGTCAAATTAAAAAAATGCTCGATCAAAAAATAATAAGGCCCAGTAATTCTCCTTGGTCATCCCCTATTTGGATTGTGCCTAAAAAATTGGACGCGAGTGGAACCAGAAAATGGCGTATATGTGTGGACTATCGCAAACTTAATGAAAAAACTATTGACGATAAGTATCCTTTGCCAAATATAACCGATTTGTTGGACAAATTGGGTAAATGTCAATATTTTTCTACATTAGATCTCGCCAGCGGATTTCACCAAATCCAAATGAGTGAAAAAGATGTGCCAAAAACAGCTTTTAATTGCGATCAAGGGCATTATGAATATCTGAGAATGCCTTTCGGGCTCAAAAATGCACCTGCAACCTTCCAGCGCGTAATGGACAACGTATTGCGCGGGCTCCAAAACGAACGGTGTGCGGTTTATTTAGACGACATTATTATTTATTCGACATCATTACAAGAACATGTAGAAAAATTACGCGATGTTTTCCAAAGACTCCGAGAAGCGAATTTTAAAATACAGTTGGACAAGTCCGAGTTTTTGCGTAAGGAAGTGGCCTATCTCGGTCATGTAGTTACCCCCTCAGGCGTTCAACCAAATCCCGACAAAATAAAAGCTATTAAGAACTATCCTATTCCTAAAACAACAAAAGAAATTAAAGGTTTTCTAGGTCTCCTAGGTTACTACCGCAGATTTATTAATAATTTCGCTAAGTTAACTAAACCGTTAACAAAATGCTTAAAAAAGGGTGCAAATATTGATCATAATAATGAATTCATTAAGTGTTTCGAAACTTGTAAAAATCTTCTAATAAACCAACCAATTTTACAGTATCCTGATTTCTCGAAGCCGTTTAATTTAACAACCGATGCGAGTAATGTCGCTTTAGGCGCTGTACTTTCACAGGGTCCAATCGGAGCTGATTTACCCGTAGCTTACGCCTCACGCACATTAAACGATAGCGAAACCAATTATTCAACTATCGAAAAAGAGCTTCTGTGTATAGTTTGGGCAACCAAATATTTTCGGCCCTACCTTTTTGGCAGACAGTTTAATATCATTACGGATCACAAGCCCCTCCAATGGCTATTTTCACTAAAAGATCCTAATTCAAAATTATTGCGCTGGCGTATAAAACTAGAAGAATTCAATTATAAAATATTTTACAAGAAGGGTAAGCTCAACACAAATGCGGACGCGTTATCGCGTATCGAAATACATACTAACGAAACAAACGATAGTTTTAATCTAAATCAGTACATGGACGATTTTAATAAAAGCCTCGAAAATAATCAAGTTCCGCCGGACATTAACGACGTTCCAAATAATAATGCTGAAACGTCTTATACAGAAACGAATAAAAATGACCTTGACCTAGACAACATTTCTATGGTTGCGCTGCCTGACACCGACAACGCTACCAATGTCCCAGACGATGACAATATTACTATACATACGAACGCAGATCAACATCCCGCTGTAGGTATCACGATAACAGAAAGCCCAGTTAATTACGGCGCACATCAAATCATAATTAAGTCGGTATTACATTCCCCAATGAAACCTAAAACGATAATATTATTCGGGAAGAAAAAACGCCTTACAATTCAAATATCTCAAAATAATTTCGAAAAAGATATCTTAGAGTTCGTCAAAGACTACATCATACCCGACGTTCAATACCATCTCTATTTTGAAAATCCCGAAATATACGAACCTTTTACAGAAGTAGTTCGTAAATATTTTAAATGGCCATCTTTAAAATTAAAACGCTGTACATCAAAACTTGTCGACATTACCAATAAAGACGACATACAAGACATAATTAAAAACTACCACGAAGGAAAATCGAACCACAGAGGTATCGAGGAAACGGAACAAAAAATTAAAAGTAAATATTATTGGCCATATTTAAAAAACTCAATACAAACATATATCAACACTTGCGAAATCTGCCAACAAAGTAAGTATGAGCGGCACCCAGTCAAGGTAAAAATGAATGTTACCCCTACCGCGAGTAGACCTTTCGAAATTATTCATATGGACGTTTTTACTGTCGAAAAATCAAAATTTCTAACCATCATTGATAGCTTTTCAAAATACGCGCAAGCCTATCCTATCGAATCCGCAGAATCTGTCGAAGTTGCAGATTGTTTATTAAAATTCTTTTCCCATCACTCAGTCCCTAAACAGGTAATTGTCGATAACGGTCGTGAATTTAGAAATTTGTTAATAACGGAATTGCTTAACTTGCATAAGATAAAACTCCATTTTATAAGCCCTCATCATCCTGATTCAAATGGTATAGTCGAAAGGTTACATTCAACATTACTAGAACATTTTCGCCTCTTAAATACCCAAGGATTCTTAAAATCACCGGCACACTTAAAAATGATATATGCTATTTTAGCATATAACCACTCCATACATTCAGTAACAAAACTTAAGCCAATTGACATAATTAAAGGGCATATCTCCGACGATAGTCCCTTCGATATTAATATTGATCAAATATTGATTAATAATTATGTCGATGACCATAAAGAAAGGACCAAAATTTTGTATTCAAATTTAAACAAAAAAATAATCCAAAATAAAGAAATTGTAATAGAAAACTTGAATAAAAATCGCGACAATCCTGAAATATTTCAACCACAGCAAATGGTGTATGTGAAAAAACACATAAGACAAAAAACTGCGAACGAATTTCAAAAACCTACTGTCATCACTAAATTAGATTCCGCTCATAAAACAGTTTCCACGGGAACGGAAGAAAAGATTCATATGAATAACTTAAAACGTCCCAGAAAGAAAAATTACACCTTTAGTAATTAAATACTTTATTATTTTAGATTCCCAGCGATTGTCACGTGCTTCCAAGAAAGCAGCCACATTGCAGTAAGAAACTTGAATACGAACCCCGGCATGATTCTTTTGAAACTAGGGTCTGCAAAAATTCAAGATTCGGCTTTTAATTTTATATATTATTACGATCTTAATCAAATAGTTTTAGAAGTAGATAAGTTAAAAATTAAGTCAACCATTTTAGCGAAAACTATAGAATCCAATCCTGAATATAAAAATGCAAGTATTAATCATTTTAAACTCCTTTTTCTAATAAAAGAAAAAGTAGAAATAAAATTAAAAGAACTAGTTCCCGATATTCAAAGGTCCAAAAGAGGTTTGATTAACGGTCTAGGTTCAATATTTAAATCAATTAGTGGCAATTTAGATTCTTCTGACGGCGAACGTTATGACGCCATTATTAAAATCCTTGAGCAGAATCAAGAAAAATTGGCAAATAGCATAGCTCAGCAAAACTCGGTTTCTATTAATTTGATAACACAATTTAACACAACAATTCGCAAAATAGCTACTAACGAAAAAATCTTAGAAAATAAAATTAATGAAATAATAATTTTTATTAAGGGTACAGAAGGTCATTCACTCTTTATCGTAGATTACTTGAATCAATTAATAAGCCTTTATGAAATAATATACTCAGTGTTACAGGACATTGAAAATTCAATCTCTTTTGCAAGGCTAAATACAGTACATCCAAGTATAATAAAAGCAAGCGATCTATTTGAAGAACTCCTTAGAGTAGAAAAGTACTTAAATAAAAGACAGTTTCCATTAACAGTAACTCCGGAAAATATCCTTAAATTTCAAAATTTAATCGATATCGAATGTTACATTAACCATAAGAAAATAACATATATTTTAAAGGTCCCGACTACTCAAATCGACATTTTTGATTATTTTCATCTGTATTCAATACCTATTTTTAATGGGAGTCAGTTTAAAGCGATAGTTCCGCGAAATAAATTCTTGTTAAAAACCAAATTGCACTACACATTTAAAAGCGACCCCTGCAAAAAGATTCTACCACAATATTATATCTGCGGAGAAGCCAACCTACAAGAAATCGCTAGAAATAATCCCTGCGAAGTTCAGCTACTTGAAGCTGGTAACACCTCTACATGTCAACAAACTCAAATTACAGTCACTAAGCCAAAATTCCAACGTATGGAAGGTTCCAATCAGTTTATTGGTATCTTCCCTCGCAAAGAAGAAATCAAGTTGGTCTGCAATTATAAAGAAGAGACTCTCATCCTGACTGGTACATATTTGTTTGACGTACCAATCGACTGTAAGGT